AAATGTTTACTGTATCGGATACAATAGTGGCACTATCAATAAAATATATTCTGCAAATAGAATGATGTTTTTAATAACGGCGACTGTAAAATGAAGTGTTCCAGAATTTTTGCGTCGCACTCTATATTTCAATCAATTTATTATCTTCTTGTTTGTGATATTAACTGTCACAAATGCATCTGTTACACGAAACCTAATCTATCTGTCGATCAAAAATATTGTAATGATGAATTTTTTCAAATCTCATATACGGTCGTTGAAAAAGCTTGTAATTATCCTTTATTTATCATTTTCTTGTCTTTTTCGGGATTTTCTCTCAGTGTTCCCCAAATTTTTCAAAAACATAGTATCTTTTTCACTTTTCCTCTGCGAGACTTATACTTCAATGTGTGAGCTATGTAAGAAAAACTGCAAAAATATGAATATTACAAGACTTTCATGGATTAAGTTAGAAATGTGTTCCATTTGTTTCGTATCAAAAAGGATAAATAATACTGAATCTGTTTAAAGCTGGCACATAGTTACAATATATATACACAAATATATTTTAGTGGCGGTCTATCTCGTATATATGCCTCGCAATTTTGCCATTTGGTAGAAGATATTGAAGAAATATACTGTAAAATTTTTGTTGTTGCACTGTTATTATGTGGACAATTGTTAGTTATATAGAGGATACATACAGCGAGATGGATTCCTATCAAGTGGCACTGTGTCGATTTTATTCTACTAATTGCTCCCTTAACTTATGAGTTGTTTCAAACTATTCTTGAAACTATGTAATACTAGTAAATTTATTTATCGGCAGGACTTTACGCATCGATGAATTTATATTTGTTGCAGCTAAATGACTCATTTTATTTTATTATAATTATGAGCTTTCGATTATATCATCATCCGATACACGTTCATATATATACGTGTGATGATACTTCTCAAAATGTATGTGTAATTTTTTCTTAATTTGTATTTACTTTCTCTGATGATGATTATTGTATAATCGAAAGCACATAACTATAATAAAATAAAATAGAATGAGTCATTTGGCTGCAACAAATATAAATTCATCTATGTAATACTATTCAAATACCTGTTCAAATACACTATTCAACGTCTGAAATATTTCATTTATGACTTTGTTTTTTATTTTGATTGACTTCTTGGTTAAACTTAAACCTTTGGCACATAAATTAAATTTTCATGAATCAAAAGTAGCTTATGCGTGAACGTTGCCTGGCGATCAATCGCTTTTTCTATGAAAACCATATGACTATCTGTTACTGATGGTACTAATACCATAAATATTATAATCAGAGCTATCTTTAAGCCTTTGAAGATCCAATTTTGTAGAGTCTAAACTATTTTTATTAAAATTAATTTCTTGTCTGTTTGGATGACAGGGTATATCGAGTTACACAAATATTTAGATCTAGAAGACACGTTCTCAGCGAGAAATAGAAGTTTTACTATCAGTACTTACGAGGAAACATATTTGAGTATTCCCCATAGAAACGCGATAAGAATCAGCCTGTCTTGTAGAGAGTTTTGCGTTGATCACGAATATCAATATCTTAGGTACTCTCGTTGGAATCTTAAAAATATCAGATGGTCACATTATGTGGCTCCGCTGCTAGACGGGTATTTGTATGAAAAATCAAGTATCTCAAAATTAATTTGCAAAGTATCACATTTTGTAGAGAATTTTTTTCTGATCATTTTGGTAAAAAGTAGTTTTCGATGTTGATACAAAAATAACAGAAATAGGATGAAAATACTAAAATGACCAAGTATGTAAACTTGTGTCTGCGCATGTTTTAGTATTTTCATCCTATTTCTGTTATTTTTGTATCAACATTGAAAACTATTTTTTTACCAAAATGATCAGAAAAAATTCTCTACAAGATCGGCTAATTTTCATCCATCATACTCATAATTTAAACTCTACAAAATCGGATCTTCAAAGGCTTAAAGATAGCTCCGATTATAATATTTGGCATTCTTACCATTGGTCACAGATAGTCATATGGTTTTCATAGAAAAAGCGATTTACCGCCTGAAACACTGTTTTATCAGTCGTTGTCCAGCTCGCTATTTTGAACTTGCCAAACGTTCTCTATCATCAAAGATCGTTAGAATTGATTTATATATGAATTTAATATTTATTCCAAAACTAAGATTGTCTGTTAACCATAAAAAAATAACTTGTTGTAAAATAATGGACTTATTTGTGTTTTTTGACAATATTGTACAAAAAACAGATCACAGTGAAAATATAAATTAATTAATTGGACTAGATAAATCAGTAAAAACAAATAGAAAAAAACAATCAAAATCATTATTTCATAATCAATAACTATGCTGTTCCTTTTATCCTTCTTCCTCTTCTACCTCTTTTTCCAATAACAGTGAATCTTCACCGAGTAACTGACATAACTCTTTTAAACGTCGTTGCAGAGAGGGTAAATCAGTCAGTTGGGATTCTAAATGTTCTTTTTCTTCTTTTAACGTTAAGCGTTGTTCGGTATTTAATAACTGAAATCGCCAATTTCCATCACCGTCGAATTGTAATAAATGTGTATGATATTTCCTATAACAAAAAATTTTATGTTCAATTATATTTTGATAAAAAACAACAACAATATTTTAGATTTATACCATAATGTTGGTCTATGAGTAATTGTCAACAATGTTATACCACTATCTTTTGCACGTTGATAAATTTTTCCCTCAACATCAATCGAAACAGCACTAGTACATTCATCTAGTAACGCATATTTCGGTCGATGATAAAATATTCTGGCTAAGCCTAAATAAAAAAGAAATGTAATAATTTTTATAGAATTCTTTAGACGATACTTACCTAATCTCTGTTTTTCTCCTCCACTTAAAACATCTTTCCAATCACGAACTGCATCTAATCCGCCTTCTCGACTAACAATATGTTGTAAATCGACACATGATAATATTTCGAATAAATCATTATCTGTTAAATGCATTTTACTCAGTATTTCTGGATAAATAATTTGTTCACGTAATGTGCCGGGACACATGTAGGGACGTTGAGGAATCAAAAATAAACCGGATGGATTAGGACGATGAAGACGACCGCCATAAATTGGCCATAATCCACGAATAATTCGAAAAAATGAACTTTTACCACAACCATTTGGACCAGTGATGAGGACATGCATGGATGGTGTAATCTAAAAATTTTAACGTATGTCATTTTTTTCTCGATTATATTACAACAAATTAATACCGTTAATGATAAACTTTCTACAATAACATCTCCGTTTGGAGTAATAATAGGTACATCTTGAACGATAATATCATCGTTTGTATCGAATATTTGACCATCTACAAGGAAATAGAAGCAATGCTCTCTTAGTATGTTCTAATAAAACAAGAAAACACTAACCTGCTTTATTGCTTAATTCGATTTTTCTTTTATGTTTAATAGTTGAATCATTCGAATTATCGCTTATTGTTGCTCGTTGATAAGATTCATTTTCACAATCATTGAATACATGGAACATTGAATGTACACGATTTGTGTGACCAGCTAATTCAGCTATCTAAAACAATAGATTTAATCTTATATATATATTAAAAATAATATATAATAAATTGACCTCTTTATATGATGTTATTATTCTTTCTAGAGCATCAGCGCCTGAAGTCAGTAAATTTTTCGATACAGTAAATGCTTCTGTTCTTGTACTAATACCATCTGGATCACGAGTGGGATCTAAAGAAAATGATATTTAGAAATGTTAAAATTAAATGTGTTTTATTAAACATACCATCGGTTTCGATTTCACCATTGTAGGATAAAAATGGAATAGCAATAAAAATCATACCACCTTTTAAAATTAGACAAAATGAAAACGTATCTAGTTTAGTTTGAAAAAAAACATTTACATGTGTGCCAAAAATATTTCATTAAAAATTGTTCAAGCATAATAAACCAAAGTTTTTTGGATATTATAAGATTTGTTTGTTGACGTAATTGATTATATAAATGAATAATCCAATGTTTTTCAACCTATAAAAAATAAGAGAGACAATGTACAAAAAATAGATGGTATATTATTAACGTAAAGAACTATTTTTGTCATCTTATCTATTATATAAACAAAACGGAAAAATCATTAGTTTTTTCACAACAATTTTGACGGTTAACGAGCGAACCTTCCCAATTGTCCAATCGCTTTTTCCTTAAAACATACACGATTGTGGATAATCTTTGATGTTGATCATGAATCTGATATCTGTTTCTAGTGCTTTACTTTCTAATCCAATAGGGAACCAAAATATTTCAGGTTTTTGAACTCTACGATTTTTCTCTATCTACAAAAACTAGTTCGTTGGTTCTGACCATTTTCCCACAAAGATAATTGAACGTGCTCTACAATTTGACAGTGCCAGAATATGTTCAACTGAAGGTTCATAGCGCGTCTTTGGATACCCGGATTTCAGAGACCGATCCCAGAAAGGCCTAGCACTAGAAACAGATATCAGATTCATGATCAACATTAAAGATTACCCACAATCGTGTATATTTTAAGGAAAAGGCGATTGGACACTTGAGAAGGTTCCCTCGTAAGAGAATGATATTGAAAATACGACTAAATAAGTAAGAAAGAGTTAATGATTTAATTTTCGACTTGATCTAGATATTATAATATGTTTTTTTTGTCTCCTACCTCTTGTCCTTCAAAAAATGCGATTTCTTCGGCATTTGCTATGACTCTCGTATGTGCAAAACGTAGTTGCCCTTTTCGTTTTGATTCTTCTGATACCAATTTACCAAATTTTGGACTCATTTTTTTTAATAAATAAAATGTGATTACAATAACAAAATTTAATAATATTGGCACTTCTTTCCATCTGGCTGTTTTTCGTTTTTGAACCATTTTAACTAGAGTGTATGATATGAGGGCAATATCGAAAAAGGGTTTTGTCAAGTGTGAATATAAATGAGTCAACGATGACGTAAACGTTTCAATATCATCTGTTAAATTTTGATCTGGATTTTGTAGACGACTATCCAAATTTGTTACGCGATAATATGTTTGGTTCTAGAACAAAAAACATAAATAATTAATGACGATACAAACTAGTATAAAGGCACATGGTTCGCTCAATCTACTCAAGTGCCGAAAGATGATTACTATTATCCATTTCAAAAAAGAAAGACCATGGCCATTTGTTTAATAACTTTTTCTAGGATGTAGCTACGGAGCTGCGGTTTTAACTAGTCGAAAGAAAAATGTTGGGGCAATAAGAAAAACCAAAAATTATTGTCCCAAAATCACCTGCAGGTGGTGCATCCTGCGAAGATATTTTGCGAAGATGTCACACCACTGAAAAAGTTTCGAATTTTAACTTTTGAGACAACAGGCAGGTAGCCCGGACTGAGACATTCGTTTCTAGAGCAGTCCCAGGTCGTTAGCTTACAAGGTTCCGGAGCTAGAAAGGTTCTCCAGAGACCACGCTAACTCGGTTCGGACACGTCGGAAGATCTCGGAAAGACTTGAAACATAGGTTACCGAATGTGCTGATCAACGTGGCAATGTTTGTTTTTGACTAGAAGTTGATCCAAGGTCACCAGGGTATTTTTAATGAAAAAATGGATTTTTGCACGAAGCCTGTCAAAACTAGAGTTGCCGTAAATCAGCCATTTTAAGTCAGAAACACACTAAATGTTTAGGAAACACATAGAATAGTGTATTGATGC